AAAAAAAAATTTTATTTTGGGGAAAACAAAAAAAAAAAAAAAAAAAAAAAAAATATATATATATATATATATATATATTTGATGGGTAATCTGTAACTGAATTTTTATAATCATACTTTCTGTAAAGTCCACATGAATAGAACAGCTTTTGGTACTTCTAAGAACTTGTACAGGGTAATACTGGTTGAGAGAGACAGAGTTTTGAGTTATCCAGGTGATTTCTATGTTAAAACACATCCAGAGTATTATTAGTTTCAGGAGGTATGCGTGGACCCGCTTGAGACCTATAAAGATCATGTAACCACAACCACATTCTTCCTCTGAGTAAAGTTTCAGCATGTATTTGAGCTGCTAAATGCATTCACAGACTGTATGCTGTTTCAGACCCTGGATCATCTGTACCTCTGTCTTATAATTGTATTGTTTAGTGAAAGCATAAACAGAGAACCACTTAATAACGGTTGCTCATTCTGCTGCTCTTTGTATGACACATTTTTCTAGCCGAGTGTTTACAGAATATCAGTGTAGAAGCTTAACTGATAGACCTACTTTTTAAGGTTGTTACAACCCTGTTCAGTTTAATAGGTTTTGGGATGAAGATTTTTGGTTTAGTGTGAATATTTTTTAGAGAGAGATCTTGGGAGTGTAATTATAATTTTGGACCACTTGGTGGCAATGTCCCCAAACTGCTCAAAGCCAAGTTTTAAGCATAATAGTCCTTTTTGAGATTTATTTAAAATGTTATTTCTCATCCCAAAGATGTACCTCCCTTACAATGGTTATGCTTTTTTTTTTCATAAGTGCTTACATAACTGTTTTTAAGTGTGCCTATTAGGGCTGTGCAATATATCGAAATATCGCAAATGTACATATCGCAATATGCATATCGCTACAGCTTGCAATATTTGGGGCCATGAACAAAAGACAAAGAGAAAATCACTCACTGCTCTTACCTAAATAACTTTTGTAGTTTAAATAAGAATCAGTGCATATTGAATTCAAAGAGTAAATACAAAGTAGTGCTTTAGTTTTCCTTTTTATTATTCAGTTCCTAAACTCATGTTAAAATGACATTTTTATGTAATGCTAGAGTAAAACACATGCCGTTTACTTTCAGAAGTTGTTGTAGGGGTGCTTTCTTATTAGAATCAGAATCAGAATCAGAATGAGCTTATTTACCACTTAAGTGTGCGCAAACACAAGGAATTTGTTGTGGTTTTACAGGAGCTCTTGATACATACATACATACAAATAACCATATATATATGACACAAGATGGTTATAGAAGTTCGCAGAACTGCATGTGGCACTTTAAGCATTATCGTATCGCATATCGAATATCGCATTATTTAATGAGTTATCGCATATCGCATTTTTCTTCAATATCGCACAGCCCTATGAAAAATGTGTTCTGTTGCTAAATCCTGAAAACAGAAACAGTTGCGGCCACAAGAGGGCTTTCTAAGACCACTAAGTGGATGCAAAATTTTATGCAAAACTGCAGATACTTTTTCAATATATAAAATAATTATCTTACATCATAGGAAATCAATTAAATTCACTTCTAAATTCTGCTGTGGAAACATTTGTGTTTAATTTCTTAGTCTGTTTTTGTCCTTCTGCATCACCCTCCATTGTCGCTGATGAAAGAACTTATATAAAGAGAAAAAGAGACTGGCAGACTTTTTATGTGATTTGTTTAGTCTTTTCTCTTTTAAGTTTTATAGAGATTAAGTGATGGAGATCTCATCTCGCATATGTCAGCTTTTGAATGATGTAATTGCTTTTAAACTTATTAATATGATGTCTGCGGCTTGTTTTATTCATATTGCAGTCCAAATGTCTCATTCACTGTCTATGTGTATATGTGGGGAAAGTGTTGTTATATAGTTTGTTTAATCTGTGCAATATGATGTGCTGTATTTCTCTTTATTT